AAATTATGGAGTTCAATGATTTGTTTAATTAAGAGTTCAATTATGTGAATTGTGAGCTTAATGATTAAATTGAAGTTTAATGAAGTTGAGAAATGTGAGTTCAATGACTAATATGTATAGGTATAATGAAATCAAAATTTGTAAAGTTTAACGAAAATGTGAGGTTGGGAGTTCAATGAATTTGTGAATGAGAAGTTTAATGAAATAGATAAGTGAAGTTCAATGAATTGATTGGGTGTGTATTATGTGATTGTTCCATTTATGATTGAGTACAATGATGAGTAAATGTTTGCTTGTAATAGTGCATATATATGTATCGCATGATCATGAGAGGCAAGAGTTTGCCTAAGAAGAGGGGTAGAGAATTAAATCCATATGGTAAGGTTTCCATTTAAGTCAATGGCTTGCTCGTATTGTTTATATACATATTATCCCACTTGTTTAATGAGAGACTATCCCACTGGTTCAATGAAAGACTCAAACCTAGCTAGCTATCCACTGGTTCAACAAGGAAGTTGGTTTAAGGAGAATGACATCCTATAATATGAGAAAATAGGAAAAACCATGTTTCACAAGTGAGTTGGCTGGGTAATGCCCTCACAAGTGTTTAGGCTAGGAAAGTTTTGGATTATAGACTATCTCAATATACCACAGCCCATGGTTTCATGTCAGAGGATTAAGAAGGACATAAGGGAGGTGTGATAATGCATATAGTAAAAAAGGGCACATAGTTTTATGTATTGTACATAAATGTGAGTATAACTTAGTTCCATGAGAAATTATGTTGATAGACGATGTGATTAGTTATTCTCTTGCATGAAATGGTGCTCACAATTCATAATCCTTTAAGCATGTGCATTTATGCTTGAAAATGTAGATCTTTATGTTCTAGAGAATAATTTATGATTTGAAATCTTACTGTAATTAGCCACCTGTATTTTAATTAATTATCATGCATTAATATAAATTAGTTGAACCTTAGTTACTAAGTGGTTGTACTCACCCTACTATCTTTAATATTACAAGAAATAGCTTAAAAGGACCAGATAAAGGAAAGCAACCAGAGGCTTAGGACTGCAATCCTATTTAGTAGGCCTCTTTATTTTTGAGTCTTTATGTGTATATGACAATTGAGATTGCCAACTAGGAATAGTCCATTTTGGTTCTTACTTGCATTACGTGTTTTATGAGTTGTAAGTGTATTTTGGGCCATAGGGAGTAGGTTTATGAATTGTGATATCTGTGATAGGGCCAAAATACTAATGCAAGTAACAATTGGGCATACTATGTGATGTTTATGATATATTTAATGAAATAGATGATTTGAACTCCCCCTTCTATGTTTTTAAATTAAGGAGTTGAGTACTGACATTGTGAATTATAAGTGTTTGATATGATATAGTGAATTGTATAAGTTGATTTTGGTGTATTACATGTGGTCTAAGTAGTGTTAATAACTCTTAGCTTTTAATGAATGAGTTGGACACTTAATTTTGTGAAAAATTATTGAAAAAGTGCAAGTTTTAAAAAAGAGTGTCCAAATTTTAAATGTGTAATAATTTAATCATGAAATTAAAGCCATTAGTTAGAGTTCGGAAAGAGCTTTCCATAGAGACCTAATTTGCATCAATTGAATGTCGGACAAAGGAATGGGGCGTGTCAAAGTTATCCCAAAAGCTATTAAATTGACAGCAAAAGTTTACTATCATGGAATGTGCAATGTATCGTGGCGCATGGTGCAATGAGTCGCGACGCATGGCACAAAGGTGAACACGCCATGACATGTGTTCTACGAGCTGTGATGCACACCCTAAAATTTTACAAAATCTCTTATTTTTTAATTCCTTAGCAGATGCACTAATTCTTGAAATGATCTCATGATTCCATATAATTGTGAACTCTGATTTATCTATTTTAAAGTCTTTAGAAATGATTTTTAGTTTTGAAAACTTGGGATCCTAACTTTACTATCTATTTATGAACTCGATAAACTTATTTTTATCTTAATCTAATCTCTTAATTAATTGAGATTTGGAGTTAAACTTGAGTTAGAGAATAAGGATATTACATCTCTCTATTTAAGAAACACTACTTTTTTCCACTACTATTATGATCTTTTCGTTAACATTGATGGTGGTTGCTCTTTAATAACAAGTATTGTTGCTTGTGAGGGTGTAATTTAAGACCCCAAGGGGAAGTTTGTTGGTGGGTTTATGGCTATGGTGGATGATGGTTGTAGTTTGTCTACTAAACTTTGGGCATTTGTGCATGGTTTGGGCTTAGCTTGGGACATAGGCAAGAGAGCAAGTCATTATATTTTAGAGTCAAATGCATCTGAGTTTATTAATCTCCTTCATACAGCGGTGTAGCCTAGTCATAATGATGTTAATAATATTAATATGGCTAGGCAACTATTGAATTGTGATTGGGAGGTGCAAGTAAAGCATGTTATGTGGGAATGGAACAAAGCAGTGGATTTTCTAGCAAAGAGTGTCTTTCAACAATGTCTGGGTGTCATGGCTTTCACCATGCATCACATGAATTAGCTCGTGTTCTTCATAACGAATGGTCTGGAGAGAGAACACTAATGGTTTTACTATAAGTTAGCCTGTGGGTTTCCTTATGTATAAAAAAAAAAGGACAGCTAGGAACTAGATAGAAACTCTCTTCAGCTGCCATCCTGAAATCCCTTCTTAATTTCAAATTTTTTTCTACTTTTTGTGATTTTATTTTTTAATGTATTGATAGGTAAACATGATGCGTGGCTAATAAGAATGCCATGTAAGCATGTGACATATAAGCAGGTCTAGTCTTATTCACTCATGGCATGAAATTTTTAAATGAACCAAACTTGAAAGACTAAATAGGAAAATATTGTGAGAATGAGATGTATTGATATTTCAAATAACCAAGATGAATGATAAATTACAAATTATAAATAAAGGCAAAAAAGTCTTAGAACTTTTCCTTCAAGGAAACCTTATATAATAAATTTTTTTGTGAAGCAATGTCATCTTGTAACTTTAAAAAAAATAGAGAGAGCAATTTTATCCTACCATCAATTTTCACATTTATTGTTCATTATTTTTGACTTTATTGGCCACGTGGTACTCCACTCTCTCCTCCCTCTATAATTCACAGTCCACATGCTGCCTTCTCCTCCTGCCTTTGTCTCTCTCCTTCTTTCAACCACCTTCCCCACCATTCTTCCTTTGCTTTTGTTGATGAGTGTGTTTGGAGAAGCTTATCGTAGTATTATGAACAATCTCTGTTCGATATGCCAAAATCCTCTTCTTCCTTCTCCATTCTTACCATACATCACCTTTGAGTTTGCGAGGGGTTGTGGGGGTTCAATTCATGAGTTTTTCCTTCTATAGTTTGCAATTATAAGGAGATCAAGCTAACCAGTACTTAGAAGGATGCTCCAATATGTTCAAATCAAGAAAGCCACAATAGGTGGAGGAGGGATACAAATGTTTATATGAGTTTGAGGATAGTGGGTTTTCAAGCAGGGCTTTGTGATAAGAAGATGGGTGCCTCAGTGCAAATCATAAATCACCAAGCCATGGTGTTTCTTTCTTTCTTTCTTTCTTTTTGGCAACAGCTATGGCATTTCACTTATGCTTGTCTGAGTTTACTTTGGCTATGATCGTTGCTTGTTACTTGCTCTATTTAATCTTGGTAGGTTGCATTGTTTTGTGCTCTTGATTTAGCTTATGTGGATGTTTGTGGCTCACTCTTTAGGTGGAGAAAGTGTTGTTGGAGAATTTGAGAAGCGGGTTTTGAAAGTTTTAACTTTGTTCAATAAGTTCTTCAGAGAAGAAGGTCCCACTAGACTTAAGTTGAAGACTCTTAAGCCATAAAGGTTGTGAGTCTTCATGGGAATGGAAATGTTAGTACTAAGCATGTATATGGATTAAAATTTTAGTTCTTGTTGAGTTGAATATTCTTCATTTGGGAAGGGAATGCTTTCTTGTTTATGTTGGTACAATGATATGCATAACTTCAAGCATAATGTTTGCTTTTACTTTTTTGTTCACTCCAAATCTCATTCATGTTTATGAAAATTAGTCTAAAGGAATTCCTGATAAGTGAGCATCACTACCCCTATGACTATCATTTGGAACTAAATAACAACACTGACGTCTATGATGTGGAAATTGTTCAATGGTAGAGGCTGGTGTTGATCTGTAGATAAGAAACACAGGGAAAGAGAGAGGGAGAAGAGGGTGAGAGAAGAAATCCAATTAGCATGTCACGTCATTTTTTCTTCTAGTCAAAACCCATTTACCCAATATTTAATGATATGGAAAAATTTCTTCCTTTTTTAAAAGTTTCAAGCAACATTTTTTTAAAAAAAAAAGTTTAAGATACTAAACACTTTTTAAAAAAAAAATTTCATTTTGCCCTTTTACCCTTTTAAATATGATATTTTAAATTTTAAATTTAAATCTAAATCTACAAATTGAAATGCTACCAAAAAACCTTGCAATTTTAAACGAGTGCATACGTAACAATGAAAAGAGACAAATGAAAAATATATTAAACACATAATGATGGAGTTGCTTTATCGATGACATGAAAATAATGCTATTTATTATACATTTATTTTATGCTAGACATGTTTTTATGCGTACTGCACGAAATTTAAATAGTGAGTTGCATATTTTATGATTTGTGAATATTATTTATCTATATAGATTCCTATATGTATGAAATTATATTTCAAAAACAAATAAGAAAAATATTTTTCACCAGATATCTGTATCTAAAAGTTTAAAACACATCTCAAAACAAAATAGTACCCGCTCACCCCTCCCCTCTTAACTTACATTGGGCTTAATCTTCTGGCCCAAATTAATTGGGCCTAGTTTTGCTCCTCTTGAAACACATCTCAAGCGGACCCAGAAAAACCTTTGAGAAGACAGTGCCAATAAAAAACAAAAAAAAACAGAAAAACCCTAGAACACAGGGCTCCTATAAAGTTTTAAACTTATACAAGGCTCAAAGTACGAACTGGGCGGCAAGGGGAATTCGCTGTAAGTCTCTCTACTCTCTGACACCTGCTCACCCTGTCTCAATTGTTGAACTTTTTGGATATTAACTTTGATTGTGAATTTTTCAAAGTTTCAGAGTAATGGGTTTGCGTTAGAAAATTTCCAGTTGTTTATGTCGACTAGTGCAAGTTCTAAAGCATTCTTTTTTTTTTTTTTTGTTTTAGTGCCTTTTTGAAGAACCAGGGAAGCAAAAATGGCCGTGCCATTGCTTTCAAAGAAGATCGTGAAGAAGCGGGTCAAGAAGTTCAAGAGGCCGCAGAGCGACCGCAAGATCTCTGTGAAGGTATCTAACCGAACGACATTTGTATAAATATGTAATTTTTTTAATGTCCTGATTTGCTGTCTGATTTGACGATCTATTGAGCTAGGTGTTGGTGTTTTATTCTGTTCTCAATTCAAACCTGCGGGTTTAATACCGGTTCAATGTGAACTAATGGATTACTTTGGGGTCTGCTGTTTCATTGCGCCTTGCCAGTTATTGCAAATTGGTTGTTTCTTTTTGGCTAGAGTGCATTATAACGAGCCTAACTTCGAATGCAATTCCAACACTCCTTGAACCTTTAACTTAATGACCCAGTTACATTCTTTACAATTGTGATTCTGCGTAGAGGAGGACTCAATTGAGCTCGGATAGGATATTATGACAGTTTTTGTCGCCCCAGTCTTAATTTGCACCATTTGGTGCAAGATGGTGACTGACATTGTATCTGATCCTAGTATGTTGTAGTTCAGTGCATTTCAAGGTCATTGCTAATGTTTCTTTCACATCGAAACATAAAAAATGTGCTCGTCTGTATTCTTCTACCTGCTTTCCTTTCGTTTTATTGTTGCACCTAACACTAGTTAAATCACTTCAGGTGAAGCGATCTTTGCTCTTTAGCCTATTTACAAGTTTCTGACAATAATTCACTACGGCTTCATTTTATCCTTTGATTGTAATGTTGTAAATGGTAATCATATGTCTTTTCTCGTGTCAGAACACGTCTATCATGGCCCCCCTCAAAATATGGTGATTCAGTAAATGAGAGATGATGATGTTTATCCATCAATTCTGCAGTCGAATGATGATTTTTAACATGCACTACCATCTGACCTCTGTTGTATATTTGGATAGCTTTGTGTGTATTGACTATTTTATCACCAAATGTTCATTTATTGTTTCATGATGTTCTTAAACTGTACTAATGAATTTATACCGGTGCTTCTGCTGCTGGTGATGTAAAGCATTTAATTATTATGACTGATATCTGATTATTACACAAAATATCACCATCTTTCGGCTGAAGTTGCATATTAGAGTTTCTGCTTGCGTTTTGCCTTTGATAAATGTTAGTTGAAGTCATAGTTATTTGAAGTTCCATGACAATGAGGCATCTTTTTGCTTTTGTTAGGCATCCCTAATTGGTTTTTCTAAACTTTTCTGCAGTCAATTATGAGAATTTTGTATGGCGTGTCATATTGTTCATATTATTTCTTTTGATGTGGCGTGTATGTAATCATGTTTTGGGTTCTATCATGTATATTTGCCCGTGGTATCTGATGTCCAGATTTTGTTTCTGTAGCTGGGCATTTCGTTTGAAGGGCATATAGAAATTTTATACAGGTCTTGCGACACAGTTGGCTTGCTTTTTATATAGGCCTTCTGTTACTATTTCCCTGTTGACATCTTAAATCCATTCATACCAGGTTTGGTGCATCTTCTCCCTGAAAAAGATGTTTCCTCCATCCAGGTCCTGTTATAATTTAGAATGTTTTTATGTTTAAAGAATGTCAAGAACCAACAGAATTTGCTTTGCTGCACTTACTAATGGTGCGACTTTAGGAGTACATGCAGCTTTAGGAAAGCCTTTGCCAATATTCTAAAGTTGTGACTTAACCTTGTAATTGATTGCCTTTGTTGTAACTTTAATTATGTTCTTGCGTGTTTACTGCAGGAAAACTGGCGCAGGCCAAAGGGTATTGATTCCCGTGTCAGGAGGAAGTTCAAGGGATGCACTTTAATGCCAAATATTGGCTATGGATCAGACAAGAAGACTAGACACTATCTCCCAAATGGTTTCAAGAAATTTGTTGTGAACAATGTCAAAGAGCTAGAACTTCTCATGATGCATAATAGGTGAACTGATTCGTCCCAATTTTGTTGATTCTCTGTTCCAGACTGTATTGCATGGCATCAGAACTTTCGCTGATGTTCCGATTATCTGTTATTTCAGGACATACTGTGCTGAGATTGCTCACAATGTTTCCACAAGGAAGAGAAAGGAGATAGTTGAGAGAGCTGCCCAGCTTGATGTTGTTGTTACCAACAAAACAGCCAGACTACGCAGTCAGGAGGATGAATAATCTGGATGACTCTGAAAGTCACTTGTGATTTGTAGCAAGTTTTTTGGTTGACATAAATGTCGTGGTGATAGATTTTTGTCATAATTTTATTTTTGCTGAAATTCGTAGCATGTTTTACATTAAGATATTTGGCTTGTTTAATGGCCGTTTTACTAGTTTTAGTCTATTGATTCGGATCCCCAAGTATTTTTCAGCTTTCAACGGTCAGGTTTTTGCACTTCCAATGCTTCATGAAAATGTTTTTTTCGAATATAAGCTGGAGCCTGGATGTCATAAAAACACATTCGGATATAACCCTACTCTTATGCCTTTATTAGGCCCTGTACATTTTGGGTCTCATCCTACTTTATGCTGGATTTTTACTTTTATAAAACTAAAGCAGATGCATGTGAATTTTACTTTTATACAACTCGGATCAAGTGACGTTTCTGCAAAAAGACGTCTTTTCTTTCCCTGGTTAAAAATGGCAACTTTTTGACATTTGCTTTTGGTAGAATATGAATATTGAAATATGAACTCTTGCATCTAGAAAATGATTCAGAATGCTCAAAAATTAGACGGGCAAAGATGAGTGAGGGGAAACTCATGATAAATACTTAAAGCTGAGTTGATTCATAAATTTTAGTCTAGTTTAACATATATTATACCAGCATCATATAAACATAAAATAGTGCCATCATATAGACATAAAATAGTGCAAACTTTGGAAGACGAACTGGGACCACAGTGGCGGAGTTACATTCACTTGAGGGGCCATATGCACCCCTTCAATTTGGAGGAAATTGGAACTTAGAAATGAAAATTTTATCTTTCTTCACTATTTTAAAATTGAGGCCTTTTTTTTGTGTGAATGTTTTAACTTAAGTCTAATTATGAATTCACTAAATTCAAAACTCTAATGTAATTTTTAGAAAGGAATATTTTATTATTTAATTTTTTAAATATCTAGTTACTATTATATATAAATAATATCTAATAGTGATTATAGGACTTATCTATGAAGAAGGAAATATTTTTAATAGCATTTGACAATGAGCAAGGGACAATTATAAAATGTATGATTATTTTAAAAAATATTAAATAATTCTTTTTAAATTATTATTTTTAAAATTAATTTGCCACCCCTAATAGAGTCCTGGCGCCACTGACCACAGTGGAAGAGTTCCCAAGGGGCAAAGAATATGACTTGCCTCGAAGAGGAACATGTAGGAAACTGAACAAGGTACTATACATAAAACAAACTCAAGAAAAAGGGAGGCAAGGAAGAATCTGGCATATTTCGTCTGCCTTGAAAGTGAAGCACGAACCTTCATCTTCTTTACAACCCTGCATGATCTTTTGAACTAGCAGCCTTGGCAAGAAAAGAACCCGAGTTTCCACCCAATTATCCTATGCATATATTTATAATATACATAAAGGACTCTCCCTTGCACCATCCTCGATCAGAAGGAACTTTCTGAAACCTCCTTCCTCCTCCTTGATCAGAGAACTTTCCGCTTTTGAAAATCCACACAGTACAGAGATGGCCAACGAAGAAATGAAACCCATTGCCACATTGCTTCTGCTCCTCAACTTCTGCATGTACGTGGTCGTTTTGGGAATTGGTGGATGGGCCATGAACAGAGCAATAGATCATGGCTTCATCATAGGTATCAATTATGTTTCTCAGACACAATCCAGAGAGTTTCATGACAAGATAAATAGAAGTTCCTGTTGTTTCTATCTTCGCATCTGGCTTATGTTTGTACTACTGTTGAGAACTGCAGGTCCAGGATTTGAACTTCCAGCTCATTTTTCGCCCATATATTTCCCCATGGGGAATGCAGCCACTGGATTCTTGTGATGTTTTCTTTGATTGCTGGAGTTGTTGGAGCTGCTTCTGCAATTGTTGGATTCAATCATGTCCGTTCATGGACTCTGAGAGCTTGCCATCTGCAGCTTCTGTTGCTGCCGTGCTTGGACTCTCACCCTTCTTGCCATGGGGTAATAATAATAATAATCCATCCACCATATTTGCCTGAATTCAAAAGTTTTTCGTTTTTTCTTTTGGGTATGATCATTACTGTATTGATCTGACAAGCAAACGATTGTGCAGCTTCGCCTGCAAAGAGATTGAGCTTTATATCAGAAATGCCCGCCTGGTAAGACAAGAACAGATAATTTCTGTGTTTTTTTTTTTTTTTATTCCCAGAAACTGTATGGTAAGTGTTGAGTTGAGATTTGGAATGTTGAATTTTGCAGAGAACAATGGAGGCGTTCTTGATTATACTGTCAGCTACGCAGCTTTTCTACATAGCAGCTATTCATGGCGCCAGGAGATGAAGAGAGAGAGATGTTGAGGAAGAGGACTCTGATCAGATGGGGGGTGGTGTGATTTGTTGTGTTTCGTATGTTCTGATTTTCGGGTTTCATTTCTGCTGTGAGTGATTTTTTTTTATTTTTTTTTTCATCAGTCTTTTATTTCTGAAACATGCTTGCAGAGTTGGCAGATTGTGTGTAATTTTCGTGATTGGATTTGTATAAATCAATATTATTTATATACTATTCCAAATTAAAGAAATGTGTCCCAAAGGCAATAGGCCATTATTATTGGGATAAATGATTGTTTCAGCTTAACAAGTAGTCTTGAATTCAAAATTTTGAAAATATTCTAGCATTAAAAACTCTATGGTGGAACCCGCTACTTGAAAAAGTCTATCAGCAATACTCAAATCCATGTTAGTATGAGTCCGTGTTAAATTCTTTCAATTGGACAAGAAGTGAGTTTTATGCGCAAGCAAGAGAAATGTGTCCCCCTGTAGATTCTTTTTTTTTAAAAAAAAAAGATTTTTAAACAAATTTTATTTTTTGGACAATAAAAACTTTCTCCTTTCACCACAACAATTGTACATGAATTCAAATTGCTTGGACTAATTGAAGAAATCAAGTAGAGAACCGAAGAGAAAAAGAATTTTTTTTTTTCTTAAAAAAAAAACAATTGCCGGACAGCATTTTT